ACTTCCGTGCCCACTGGGATGCGTAAAGCGTCACTAAATGATAAAAACAACAGTTAGGGGTCGTCCATAAATTAATCGCGCAATTTTTGACATTGTTTGACCCATTCCCCCTCCACCTTCGTAACGCATCTTAACATTTTATTGACCCTCCCCCAATATTACGCAACATCTTTGCACCTCCTCCCCTCCCACACAAACTTAAAAAAACTTAAATGATTTTAAATCTAATAATACCTACATTTTTCTTAGCTTCTTTGAGTTAATTAATTAGTTAATTAGTACTTTGCAGTCTGTTTAATGTTTCTTTTTCACCTCAAAAGTTCCGAGCAATATTGTAAAAATCAACTTAGCTATCCAAACATAATCCTATTTTAAATACTTGATGCAGTTAAGATGATTTACAAATCCTTTGAATTCTTTTATTTGAAATTAGCATGATTATATCAGCGTATTATGTCTAAACAAGAGCTTTAGATGTGAAAATATTTTTTGCATCAGGTTGTTTTGTTATTCAATGAAAATTTTCTTTTTTTTGTATAATTTTCAAAACATTTTTACACCCCTAATAAAGAACACCATTTTGTAGTCTTTAGACCACTTTCGCTCAACGGCGTTACCATGAATTTAGTTAAAATCTTTTCAAAAAGTGCCTAAACCCACTATAGATCCTAGTTCTAGTCGGTTCTGACGTATATTAACTAAATTTAGTTGTCCAAATACAATATTTCTATCGATTTTCACAAAAAAATACTAGAATTCCGACCAAGAAAAAGCTTATAATAAAGAAAAATAGTCAATAAACAATCAGAACAGATCATATTATTAAACTATGATGTTTATTTCTCCTAAAAAGCGTATTTATTTAAAATTTTGTTCAAATTTGGAAAAGCGATTGTAATTTAGCGGTAAAGTAGCGGTTTTTTCGCTACAAACATTTATATTTAACAATGATATATTACATAGTATATCATTGATATTTAATGATATCGCAAAGTTCATCATTTTAATTTTTTTCGTATTTTCATAATTCACAGACCTGATCATTTAACGAAAATATGTAGTTGTCAACAAAATACCATACAGACGTCATAATATTTTAAAATTCCCTACACCGAGAAGAAAAAGCAACAACTATAAGTATATCAAGTATACGATTTTTATATCTTGTTTGTTCTCTTGCAATACATATATGTATTTTTATATCTTGTTTGTTCTCTTGCAATACACTTATGTATTTTTATATCTTGTTTGTTCTCTTGCAATACACTTATGTTTTTTTATATCTTGTTTGTTCTCTTGCAATACACTTATATATTTTTATATCTTGCTTGTTCTCTTGGAATACACTTATGTATTTTTATATCTTGTTTGTTCTCTTGCAATACACTAATGTATTTTTATATTTTGTTTGTTCTCTTGCAAAATGCTTATGATGTATTTCGACAACCAAAATAAGCACCAAAAAATAAGTCAACAAAAATTAATCAGTTGTATATAGTTGAAATTGTGAAAAATAATCTGTATTCATTTAAATCGTCTTTATTTAACAAAATACAACCACTCCATTTTGGAAAATGCTTTAAAAAGCAATCAAAAGCTCAATTTGTTAATTGTTCTAGCAGATATTTGCTTACTCAATAGTGAATTACTTAAATCAGAATTAGTTACATTAGATTATTCTACATTAGATTTTGTTTTCTTAGAGATTCTTAGTCGTTTGTTTGAAACTCATCAACATATCTCGTTTCAAAGTTTCATTCTGTTCTTATATTTCTTTTTCAGATCCGATAAACATAAGCCTTGAGCCTGGATTTGGAGGTTTTTCCAAATATTTTCCACTACACAAATAACTTATGATACTAGCAATGTGACTACAACAATCACAAAACTCACTTGCCGAAGACAATATTGATTCTGGACTGGCAAATATTTAATAAAAACATTATGACTGTTATGGGTAGTCTATTATATTTGACAAAGTATATATTATATTTGATCAAAAAAAAACTATTATATTTGAAGGTGTTTGAAAATCTTATGTTATGGTTTGCATATTTTTATATTCTCTTAAATAATTATACTTTATCGATGTCAAAAAAGTGTTGTGTATGTGGCTGAAATAAAAGATTTGAAAAAGTAATAGTTCATCGTTTTCCTGAAGATAAAGAACAAATAAATATTTGGAATAAAAGTACTCCAAATTATAATCTTTTAGTTTCAGATGAAACTGTTACTTACCAGTTACATTGGCCAGCAGTTTTCGAAAATTTGAACAAGAAAAACAAAGACCGAAAATGCCACCATCTGTATGGTCAGGAATATCTTAAAGTTAAATACCTACTCCATTACCATGTTATCGCACAACACAGATTTCTTTAAGCGTTGTTAGAAATATTAGAACTGATGATTTTAGCACTTTTTTATTGGCTGATAAAGCAAAATATATTGATTTTAAAAATATTTTATTAAATAATCCCAGGACATTTTTAGTTTTAATAGTAGCATATATAATTGAAAAAACAATTAATGTTCAATCTATTACATTTTATGATGGTAATTTTTTTTCTTACTAAAATTTTTGAGAATTTACATTTTAAAACATTGTGGAATTAATGTTTCATAAAAAGTTTGTGTAA